CCAATAAGAGAATGGGTGTGACGGGGCTTAAATAATAAAGCACTATGTGAATGTCAGCTATTTTTATAATTTCTGCTGGAAATTCCTACAGGATGTGGGGAAAGGGAGAAGTATGTGGTACCACTGTGTGTTGTGTGGAGAAAGGGGAGGTGGGGAAGTGGAACAAAAGAGAAAGGGAGAAAAATAAAGAGAGAGGGATTGAGAGAAAGGCAAATTAAAGAGTGAGATTCAATAGGATAGAGATACTGAGGTAAATGGAGGCGACAATGGTTGCATTCACATTTTCAGGGTATTGCTCATCTTATTAACTACGTTCACAGCTCTTCAATTTGCTTTTAATAATGGCAGCCCTCCCAGATGAAAATTATTCTTGGGGTTGGACCTTCCAGAGATGCGGGTGAAATTAATTTGAGGGCTGGAAGATGCTCTGCCACTGACTGCCTGGGGCGGGGGGGGGGAATGACTGACCTGACCTGTTTTCTTCTCATCTGGAGGATGAAAGGGTTGAACTAGATGAAGTCTGTGGTCCTTTCTAGCTTCGAGTCAGTGACTCCCCTCAACCCCAACCTAATGATATATACATATATATATATATATATGTGTGTGTGTGTGTGTGTGTATATATGTATATATATATATACACACATACAGTTAGAGAGAGGCATCTTCTCCTACTGAATCACCTAGCTGTGCATAAGATGCCAGTACCACAGCCTCTTCTACTTTCAGTTAGCTTTGACAAATTTCCCCTATAGGAATATTGTTGATTCCCCACAAAGTCCAGGTCACTTAATTATTCAGGATTAGGTGAGTTACCTATCCAGTATCCAAGACTTTTTTTTAGGGTTTTTTTCCCTTTTTAAAAAACGTTTTTGGATGTCTTTCAGACATTTTTCTAATCTGTTGAAACTTTAGAGAAAAAGGGAAAAAACAACCTTAAATTAGCTCATTTTGCTGCTTACTCATTGATAAACTTGGTCATAGCTTTAGAAAATAAGAGAGAGGCTAGAAAGAATGGTTAAGAAATGGTTCCCTTATCAGGAGCACAATATGGGGTCCATTAGCAGGAGAAAGGGCAGCTAGATGGCGCCATAGTGCACAGAGTGCCAGGCCTGGAGTCAGAAAGACTCATCTTCCTAAGTTCAAATCCAGCCTCAGGCACTTACGAGCTGGGCAAGTCACTTAACCCTGTTTGCCTCAGTTTTCTCATCTGTAAAATGAGCTGGAGAAGGAAATGGCAAACCACTCCAGTATCTTTTCCAAGAAAACCCCCCAGAACTCATGGAGAGTTGGATATCACCAAGAAGAAATGACTAGACAACAACAATATAAGCAGGACAGTACCTCCCTCCCCATAGTCCACAGGAGTGTTCCAACCAGAAGAGGAGGGAGAATAGTGTGAATAAAAAGCACCACTATTATTTCACTTGCCAACAAAAAGTATGGGATTACCCTACCCCTTGGTATATATACATATACTGACTCCTGTCTCCAACTTATTTTTATGCTACCTCCTCCACTTTTCCATCAATATTGACTTTCACCTACTTTCCCTGGATGAAAATGTTAGAAAACATAATGTGGTTTTTATTGTTCTTCTTTTTACTATTGAGAGTGGGATTATCCAGCACTTTAAGTTTCAAAAAATACTTTATATTATCTCATTTGAGTCTCACAACAACCCCAGAAGGAAGATGCTATTATTCCCATTTTACAAATGGGGAAACTGAGACACAGAGAGGTTAAAATTATTTGCTCAGAGTCACACAGGCATCTCTGAGTTGGGATCTGAACCCCAATCTTCCTGACCCAGAGTTCAATACTCTACCACATCAGGCTGTGTTAAATGAATCTCAGCCTCTGTCTCCTCTTCAATCAAATCAGGGCCAACACCATTTGACCTGCTCCCTTTAGTTCCTGATGCTATGTCTTCCTCCCCCTCGCTCGCCACAGATGGTCACCCCCCCCTCCACACACATTTCTCTATATAGGATGGCAGCCCAGGAAATTATTTTAGTCCCAAGGAAAGTAATTACAAATAAAATAAATAATTTTCATGGAGACAGGGAGCCAAGAATCCTTCCATTCTATGGTCTTTCTTTGTTGACCATGAAGCACCAATGAAAAAGTTAATGTTCTTAGTAAGGTAAACTAATACAGAAAGCATGCAATCATTTTCTAGTACAGGCTATTAGCTTTCTGAGGTTATGATGAGTTCAATTATTAATCTTCCTTAAAGTAATCAAAACCGTGAAGCTAAAGTATGGGTCATCACTGGACCTCCTCTCATCTCTATTTAACCTATTTACAGAGAATTCCTTTTCAAAAGCACTGAGAAAGACTGCAAAATCTAGAGGCACGGTCTTCAAAGAATCACAGATTCACACAAATTCATAACTGAGAGGGATTTCAAAGGTCACCTTATCCAGCCCCAATCTGATTAGGAACTTACAGTGACATCCCTGACAAGTGACTATACAAGCCTCTACTTGAAGACCTCCATTAAGAGGGCACTGGCTATGTCCCAAATGGCCAACATTTGAACGGCTCAAATTGTTAGAAAATGTTGACTTAGCAGAAATAAGTTTAATCTTTCTTATAAGTAACAACCCTTACAACATATGACGGCTAAATTCATGTGTCTCCCCAATTTTTTCTCCTCTAGGCTAAATATATTCAATCCTTTTCATTGCTTTTCATGTGGTTTCTAATTTTCTTCCACTCTGTTTACCCTTCAATGAATGGGATTGAGGCAGTGTCATACAGCAAAGGAAGGGAGTTGAATTTGGTGTCAGGGGACAAGAGTTCCAATTGCAGCCTTGCCACTTATTAATTACATGACTCTGGACAAGTCACAGTCTCTCTAGGTCTCATCTCTTCTCTTTTTATTTCCCACTTAATAGTATTTTATTTTTTCCAATTACATGTATAGCTAGTTTTTAACATTCACTTTTATAAGATGGTCTCATCTCTTCTCTAAAGAACGAGGGGGCCATTGCCAGTCATCTTGACTTATGTCTTGCCATTAGACTCTGATGACGCTGGAGGATAGAGTGAGGCTGATGAGGGCACAGTCTTGCCTCACTTTAATCCAATTCATTGCAAGTCAAGACACCACCGTTGTGACGTCATTGGTCCTCTTCAAGAATAAAGAATGAACAACAATAACAACAACAACATCCTATATTATTTAATCTGTGTGGCTTATCTCAAAAATAGGATTATTTCTTAGCAAATTAAATATTTTCTTGGTATCTTTCATTTATGGATGTTTTTGTTTTAGTTCAACTGTCAGTTATCCAGGCTTGACTGGTCCCCTGTCTCTAAGATGGACCCAAGGTAAAGGAGACAGAAGAGTTCTGATGCCATTGTCAAGGATACAGCTCTTCTGACCTTGCCACCCAAATTGATCATGGCTAAATCCCTTTGGCATTCTGTCCAAGTCCCTTGGACAACTCTGCAGCAGAGCATGAGAGCCCTGGAGAATCCTCACAGAACTGAGGACACCAAGGGACAGTTACTCAGATCTCTTATCCTTCAGATGGCCCTGTATACAGCATGAGGTCTAGGTTCCAAACATCTTCAGCACAAACCCTGCTTCTCCCTGCTTCTGTGTGCTAGCTGCAGATAGCCTCAGCATGGAAGAAACTCAGGTGCCCTCCTCTGATGCTACTGGCTGCAGCTGCAGCCTTCCTCATCACACAGGTCGGCCGGATTACATACCTTGCTGTTGTAATAACAGGAATGAACAACTCAAACCCAGACAGAACCTCAAAACCCTATTTCAGCCACTGTTTAAACCTGATCCTACACCATACTTTTTATCAGAATTTCTAATAAAAAGCATTAATGGATTCATTTGCATTTGACCTATTTTCTGCTTGCAGGTGCCAGTGAAATGAGAAAAAAATTTCAAAGGGACAAAGCAAAAAAAAAAAGAGCCTTAGGATAATCCATGATATTGTCTGGCTCTGGATAATGGAGAACTGGCTTTACTTTCAGTGGTTTATTTTTCCAATTAACATTTGTAGTTTCATTTTCTCAATAATGACCATCTTTTCTATCACTAGTTCCTAGATGAGAATTCTTTTCCCACTTTCATACTATCCACTCTATTGCCCTGGTAACTTCACAGAATAATCTTAATACTTTCAAATGTATCTAAATCCAAAATGTTTATCTTATTTCTGTAATGAAAGCTATCAAAAACAGACCTTTTTTCTCATCTTAATCCATTCGTATCATAAATTTTTACTCCACTATTAAGGGTATTAATGATAGCTGCCTATTCACAATCTTGGGTCTAGGAGAGAGAATCAGAGACATAGAGAGAGACAGAGACACAGAGAGAGACAGAGATAGAGACACAGAGAGAAAGAGAGAGAGAAAGGAAGGAAAGAAAAGGAAGAGAGGGAAGGAAAGAAAAAAAGAAAAAGAAAGAAAGAAAGAAAGAAAGAAAGAGAGAGAAAGAGAGAAAAGAAAGAAAAAGAGGAAGGAAGAAAAAGAAGAAGAAAGGAGGGAGGGAGAGAGGGAAGGAAGGAAAGAAGGAAGAAATAGAGAAAGAAAGAAAGGAAAGAAGAAAACCTTCCTTTCACTTATCTAAGGACACTCTAATGTATAGAAAGATAATCTCTGGGGCTGTGAAACTTTCCACTTTCTTCTCAGAAAGTCTAGGCTATGTGCTATAAAACATTAACACAAATTTAATTAACATTTTTTAAAACTTGCCTATGTTTCTTTTAGGTTTAAAACCAATTCTGAAAGATACCAGGATGTTTTTAAACGGATTCTAAAGAAAAGAAGTGAGTAGTTCTGCTTTTCTAAGTGAATAGAGCCCAACACACCCAAGGCATGTAAGGGGTTTGGTAGAACTGGCCCTTGTAAACAAAGCTCTCTAGCTTTGGCTGTCAAGGATATGAGCAAATAAACATAAGTAGCTATGCTTCCCAAGGAAAGGGAAGATCAGCAAAGAACTGACTATATGGAGCTGCAGGCATGCTCATACCAGGAGAAAGCAGCCAGCCCCTGGGAATCATGTCAACGGGGTGAAGTTGCAGGTAGGTGAAAAGAGCTGTGTCAGTAGACCATGGGTGCTGGTGATTTATCTGAGACTGTCAATCAGTCAATCAATCAACAACATAATTAGACTAAAATCCCTTCAGCAGTTGTGTGGAGCTTGGATTGAAGAAGGGAGAGGCTTGAGGCAGGGAGCATAATTAGGAGGCTATCACAATAGTCTAAACAAAAGGTAAAGAGAGACTAAACTAAAGTGGTGGCACCATCCTTAGAGAGAAGGAGACTGATGTCAGAAAGGCCATGTAGGTAGAACTGACAAGACTTAGCAAATAACTGGATCTGTGTAGCGAGGGTGAGTGAAGAGTCAAGAACGTCTCCAACGTTGCGAAGCCATCTGCCAGAAAGGATGGTGATGTCCTCACCAGAAACAGGAAAGTTTGGAAGAGGGGTATATTTAGGAGAAAGTATAATGGATTTCTATCTTAAACACATTGGGTTTGAGATGTCTATAGGACATCCAGTTCAAAATGACCATCAGTTGATGATGCGCAGCTGGACCTTAGGAGAGATACTAGATATAGAGATAGAGACCACATGGATATAGAGACTAGATAATAGAGATCTGAGAATCATTTGTGTAGAGATAATAATTGAACCCACAGGGAAACTACTGGAGACACCAAGACAGTATATATAAAAAAAAGACACAGCTCAGGACAAAGCCTTGAGGAGATACCCACAGCTAGAGAGCATGATATGAGAGATTAAAAACAAGTGTATAGACCAGTCAGAGTAGAACCAAGAGTGAGCAGGACCATGAAAACCTAAAGAGGAGAGAGTATCTAGGAGGAGAGGGTGGTCACTAGTGGCCAATGTTGAGGAGAGGTTAAGAAGATGAGCACCAAAAAAGGACACTAGATTTGGAAAATCAGTGTTTATTCTGAATAGCCAAGTGGCACAGAGTACTAGTCCTGGAGTTGGGAAGACCTCACTTCAAATCCAGCCTTAGATACTTACAATCTGTGTAACCCTGGACAAGTCACTTAACCTCTGTTTGCCTTAGTTTCCTCTCATCTATAAAATGAGGTTTATAGTAATACCGACCTCCCAAGGTTGTTGTGAAGTTCAAATGAGATGATTATTATAGAGTGGTTAGCGCAGTGCCCGGCACATAGCAAGAGGTCTATAAATGTTAGCTATTATTATTAAGTTGAATGATAAAATAGAAAGGCAGATTACAAGGGTCTGAGAAGTGAGTGAGAGAAGAAATGAGGCAATGAGAATGGACAACTTTTTCAAGTTTGGTTGCGAAAGGGAGGAGAGAGATGTGTCAATGCCATAGGAGAATCCAACTCAAAATGCCCAACAGGTAGTTGATGATGCAGGTCCGCAGTTCAGACAAAGGTCCAGGATCTGAGAGTCATTTGACTAAGGTAAAACCGAGTGGGATTTTTTTAAGGATTGGATATATTTGTAAGTATCAGTTCACAAACCTCCAGGGAGAGGTGGAAAGTTAGAGAGAGGGTATGATTTTGGAAGCAATCTGTAGGAAGAGATGGGCAGGGATGTGATCAAGACTACGTGTAGAGGGGCAGTTAGGTGGCACAGTGGATAGAGCACAGGTCCTGAAGTCAGGAAGACCTGAGTTCAAGTCCGGCCTCAGACCAAACACTTGACACTTACTAGCTGTGTGACCCTGGCCAAGTCACTTAACCCCAATTGCCTAAAAAAAAAAAAAAGACTATATGTAGGGGGGCAGTTAGGTGGCACAGTAGATAGAGCTCCAGCCTTGGAGTCAGAAGGACCTGAGTTCAAATCCAGCCTCAGACACATGACACTTCCTAGCTGTATGACCCTGGGCAAGTCATTTAACCCCGATTGCCTCATCAAAAAGAAAAAAAAGACTACACATAGAAGGGTTGGCATTGATGAGAAAGGGCCCATGATTTTATCAGGGGTTGGAATAAAGGAAGGAAAGAATGGTAAATGATATTAAGGGAATTTGAGGTGTGCAAAAGAAGGAACGCACAGAGAATGGCCTCTCTTTTCTCAATAAAGTAGAAGATGAAATACTTGGCTGTAAGAGTTGGGGAAGAAAAGGGTGTGGGGAGGTTTAAAGAGAGTAATTTTGGAACAACTGCTGTAAGGAGTATAAGAGTGAATCAATTAGAGGAATAAAAAGATTGCCTTGCTACATACAGCAAGTGTCCAGTTGATATTGGAGAACATAAATTTGTAGTGAATTTAGTCAGCTCAGTTGCATGACTTCCTGTAGCACCATCCAGCAACAAAGAAGTAGATATTTAGGAGGTAAATGGTAGTAGTGATCTAGAGTTGGGATTTGGTAAGGCATGTCCTATTGTCTTTAAGAGCCAGAACCAATAAAATTTCATAAGGAGAAAAATGAAATCCTAAACTTGGATACAAAAAAAATTAGGTTCACAAATATGTCAGTTAACAAGCTCTTATTAAACACCAACTATGTGCCAGGCACTATGCTTAGCCCTGGGGATACAAGGAAAGAAAAACACTATGAGATCCTAAGCTCCTTGAAGTCAGAGACTGTCTTCATTTCTGTATTTGTAGCTCCAACCTTTCATTCTTTCATTCATTCATTCACAAAGAATAATCAGTCACCTCCTCACCTTGCCCTATTTCCTGCTGGGTTTTTAACCTGTTGGGTTCCATGAAGTAGTCCATGATGTCTAAAAGGAGACCTAATAGACCTAATATAGTAAAAGTTTTATCTGAAGACTTTTTGAAGTTATCAGAAAAAAAATCTAAGCTGGAACCTTTAATTACTTTAAAAGTAAAGGAAACAGGGCAGTGAAATTGGCGTCTTCTCCATATTTTAATCCGTTTCCAAGCACAGCGGGCTGGTTTCTAGCTAGTGTTCCACAATGAAAAGCACCTAAACAAGTAGTAGTTTGTTTATCAGAAGTAGAAATAATCTTTCTATAATTTTTCTATATTTATATGATTTTATTTTTTAAAATAAAAAAGATTTGTCAGTAAGTCAAATATTTAATTTAATTGTAGGAAAGTCTAAGACATGAGAAGATCAGAATAGTAGGAAAGGCAAGGTTATGAAGGGCTTTGAATGCCAATGAAAGAATTTTATATTAGATCTTGGAGGTGATGAGAAGTCACTGAAGTTTATTGAATAGGGGAAGGGCGCAGGGTGTGACATGGTCCCACCTGCTGTTTAGGAAGACCGCTTTGGTCACTGAGTGGAGAATGGACTGGAGTGGGAAGACATTTGAGGCAGATAGGTCAACCTATGGATTTTGTAATAGTCTAAGAGTGAGGTGGTAAGAGCTTATACCCAGGTGGAAGCAAGTATCAGAGAAGCAAAGGGAACATACATGAAAGATGTTACAAAGGTAAAATTGACAGCCTTTATCACAGATTGGATATGGGAAGTAGGAAAGTGTAAGGATTCCAGGATGACACCTAGGTTGCTAACCTGGATGAATGGGAAGTTAATGGTACCCTCAACAGCAATGTTCTCAGCTGAGAGGGTGGGAGGCAGGAGATGAGTGAACGTTGATGATAAGATCAATACATATTATATATTATTATATTCAAATATGGTATACATTATATCCTATCTATCATATAACATATCGCATATAGGGATTAGGAGAGACAGTACTCCAGTGAAGAGAAAGTTGAGGCAGGGAGACCCACCAGCAGGCTATCACAATAGTCCAGGAGTGAAGAGATGAAGGCCTGCATGAGGGTAGCAGCTAGGTGGGTGGAAAGAAGGGAACCTATATGAGAGGGGAAGGTGTAGAAGGAAAGATAATGAGCTCTGCTTTGGATGGGTTGAATTTGAGGCTTAGTTTGAGATATCCAATAGGCAGCTGGTGTGGTTGCTGTTGTCTGTCTTTTGTTCTCAAAGAGGACCATGACGTCAGGAAGGTGATGCCATGACATGCAAGGGAACTAGATTTAAGTGAGGAAGGGCTATGCAAGGTCACCAGCCTCACTTTCTCCTCCAGAGTCATCTGGGTCCAGTGGCAAGATACAGATCAGGAGATGACCCCAGGCAGCTGGTGATGTGAGGCTGGAGATCAGGAGAAATGTTCAGGATGAATAAATAGATCTGAGAATTAACTGTATTGAGATGATGATTTAATCTATGAGAGCTGATGGGAATACCAAGCTAGCTTATGTAGAGGGAAAAAAGAAGGCCCAGGACAGACATTTGGGAGACATCCACAGTTAGTGGGTATGACCTGGATAAAGATTCAGTAAAGATGAATGAAAAGAAGTCAGAAAGGTAAAAGAAACAGGAAAGAAGACAGTATCGCTAAAACCTAGGGAGAAAAGAGTACCAAGGAGAAGAGAGGTGATTAACAATGTGAGAGGCTGTGGAGAGGTCAGGGAGGATGAGGATTGAGGAAAAAGTCATTAGATTTTGCAATTAAGAGGTCATCGGTAACTCATCATTAGCTAATTAACTATTAATTACTCATCTAGATCATTAGCAACATCATTAATTAAGCCAGACAGCAGACAGTTTAGAAGAAAGTGAGAAGAGAGTTTACACCAATTGCAGATCGCTTTCTTAAGGAATTTAGCCATGAAAGGAAGGAGAGATATAGGGTTATATCTAATGGGGATGGATGGATGAAGTGAGGGTTTTGGAAGGGACGGGAATATGTCTATAGTGAGAAGGGAAGCCGCCAAAATAAAGGGAAATTGAACATAAAGAGAGAATGGAGATGTTGGAAGTAGTATAAAAAAAAGAAAGCATCAACAAAATATTAAAAAATAACAATTGTTTTGATTTTTTTTGCCTCGAAAAACTAATGCCCAGTAACTACAGCAAATAAACTCAAACCTGCCCTGAAAACAAATAAACCCTTAAATTCTCCTTAAGCCTCAAATTACCACTGATCAGGATCTCAGATAGGTGCCTCAGAAGAAATACACTGCATGGAAAAGTTTTAAGGCGTCAAGCGACCTGGGATCAAATCTTACCTTAGGCATTTGCTAACTGTGTTATCCTGAGCAAGTCACTTACTCAGCACCT